TGTATTTTAAAGGTAAAGGCAAATAGCAAGATAGTATGTATAAATATAGAAGCAATACTATTAGTAACATAGCCTTGTTTTTTTCGTATGGATAAGATCCAATGTTCATGACCTTAACGGTAACTTTCTACAGTAAGGAATATGGTGCATACAGGGTGGGGCAAAAAGAGGTTTATAGTTGTTGGAAAATAATGCAATAAGTAATAAATAATGCAATAATGCAATAAATAATAACATAAGAATAAACTCTGTGTTTCATGTACTCACAACTGTGAACCTACTTCTGCTCCACCTGTATATTATAATGTCTGTGGGAGTAGCTGTCAAAGGGAGTCTATTGTTCTATTCAACAATCCTCTGAGTGAAAACAAATGACTTGGGTTCAAATCAGTCCTTTAATATTCATTACCTATTTATATGTATATTGTAAATTCCTGATCGTGGTCAGGAGGGCAAGTTTCAAAGGATCTATAAAAATTGATCAGTAGCCCTCTCCGAGAGGTATGATAGACTATATCGGATATTGTGGGAGGAAAGGAAGGTCCCATAGAATACTGCAGTTTCTTTAGCATAAAGGTTAATTCTTTTCGTCGTATTTCTCCAGCATTATCTTTCCTCCTTACCCAACCTTATCCTCAAAACATTCATAAGACATTTTAGATTCAGAAATGTAATTATATTATGCTTTAGAGTTGTGAATTTGGGGATGTAAACCTTTTTTGCTTTAAAATGCAAGTGGTTATAAGTATAAATAAGATTTGGGTCAAAATTAGGTGCCCATTTTCTCTGTGGATTGAGCAAAAGAGTATTTTGTATGGTTAGACCTTTGGGTCTTAGTTTTTGCTATCACAGTTCAAATGAATAACATATTAAGATTAGCTTCCTGCCCAGCCAGTGTGGCTCAGTGGTTGAGCATTGACCTATAATCCAGGAGGTCACGGTTCAATTCCTGGTCAGGGCACATGCCAGGTTGCAGGCTCAATCCCCAGTGGAGGGTGTGCAGGAGGCAGCCGACCAATGATTCTCTCTTATCATTGATGTTTCTATCTCTCTCCCTTCCTTCCTGAAATCAATAAAAAAATCACTTCATTTTTGAAATGAAACTCATCATTTTGAAACATGTGAAAAGAAAATTACTAAAAATATATGGACTGAAAAGGAAAATATTGAAAGTCTAAATATAATGTTAATAAAAACCAGATTTGTCATTCATCAAAACAGGATTGATGATCAAGCACAATAAATATTCTAAGATACTTTCTCTAAAGGAATTACAATACTCTATGGAGAGACCTCTGCCAATATCAGATATTCAAGGTAATGTCTCTCAGAGCCACTAGTTAATTTACATTAAGTCCAAGAAACTGCTGAGTATGGCATTCAGGGCCCTTTGCTATCCCAACCCAAAATTGTCACTATTGTGTAGGGTGTATGATGGTTAATTTTATGTGTTATCTTGGCTAGGCCATGGTGCTCAGATATTTGGTCAATAATTATTTTTGGATGTTTCTGTGAAGATTTTTGTTGTTATTTCATTTTAGTATTTTTTTTAATTGTCTAAAGTTTTACATATGTCTTTTTCCCCAATTAACCACCTTCCTCCCCCAGCTATTCCCACCCCGGGCAAGCCCCCACTGCCCCAGTGTCTGTGTCCTTGGTTACACTAATATGCATGCATATAAGTCCTTTAGTTGCTCTCTAAACCCTCCTCCCCTGACATTTGTCTCTGGATCTACTCTTGTTCATCATTTTTATTTTTTTATTTTATTTTATTTTTTTTTAATATATTTTATTGATTTTTTACAGAGAGGAAGGGAGAGAAATAGAGTTAGAAACATCGATGAGAGAGAGACATCGATCAGCTGCCTCCTGCACATCTCCTACTGGGGATGTGCCCGCAACCCAGGTACATGCCCTTGACCGGAATCGAACCTGGGACCTTTCAGTCCGCAGGCCGACGCTCTATCCACTGAGCCAAACCGGTTTTGGCATCATTTTTATTTTTTTAAAATGAGATTTAACATTTAAATTGGTGCTCATTCAGTAAAGTCCATTACCATTCATAATGTGGGTGGGCCTCGCCCAATCAGTTGAAGACCTTAATATAACAAAGACTGACTTCCCCTTAGCAAGAAGAGATTCTGCCAAAAGACTGCATTTGGACTCAAACTGCAACTCTTCCCCATGTCTCCAGTCTGTCACTCTGCTCTGAAGATTTTGGATTTACTAAGTCTCCATAATCATATGAGCCAATTCCTTATAAATCTCTCTCTACAAAGATGTAGATATGGATATAGATCTAGACCAGCTGTGGGCAAACTACGGCCCGCGGGCCGGATTCGGCCCGTTTGAAATGAATAAAACTAAAAAAAAAAAAAGACCGTACCCTTTTATGTAATGATGTTTACTTTGAATTTATATTAGTTCACACAAACACTCCATCCATGCTTTTGTTCCGGCCCTCCGGTCCAGTTTAAGAACCCATTGTGGCCCTCGAGTCAAAAAGTTTGCCCAACCCTGATCTAGACACATCCTGTTAGTTCTATTTCTCTGGACAACCCTACCTAATACAGGTAGTGATAATATCATGGATTCTATAATCAGAAATATGGGCTCAGGGTATCTGCCATTTACTAACTGTATATATGGGAAAAGCTACTTTATCTCTCTAAGCTTCAGTTTCCTCATCTTTAAAATGAGTATAACAATAATTCCCTCAATTCTCTAGCTATAGATTACATGCCACCTACTCCTCCCCCCCCCCTCCATTTTCTCTCTGAAAAGCAATGGGGGAGGGGGGGTACTGCAGTGAGGATTAACAAAACAATAAAGGGCTTGGCATAGAAGCAGCCACAGGAGAGCCTGGGCAGGGCTCTTTAACAAAAGGGCCCTAAGTCAAACAAAAGGGGCCTTGGGGACAGGATCAGGGGGTTTGCCCAGGATGAACTCTCCACTGCCCTGGTTGCAAGTCTGGTGAAGTCCCTTAGAGTCTAGGAGATGCATGCCTGTGGGGGAAGGGCAGAGGGATGGAGGCACAGAGGTACTCCTGGGAGGAACAGTGAGCCTCACAGCTTAAGTTTTGAGGCAATTTGTTGCACAGTAAATAATGCTACATTCAATTCAAGTCTATAAAAGACTTCCCTCACCAACACACAGAATGTCTCCTTTCTCGGTTTCCCCTAGCATCCTGCATATAACTATAATAAAACTTTTCATGTTATATTAACCATGTTTTTACTGGGTTCTTGTTTCCTTTGCAATTGTATTAAATGGAGAAAATAAAATCAAACTCAAGCCTGGCACATAAAGAACTTTTACAATAGTTAAGGTAACAATCGGTTTTTCCTATGTCTTATATGTTGTTCTAAGCCTTTTATAAATATTGTCTTATTTAATCCTCATAAAAACCTAGGAGATTATTATTACCCCTATTTTACAGATGATGAGACTGAGGTCAAGTCATAGAGAAGCTGATTAATTTGATTATGGTCATACAACTAGTGAACGTTGCTGAATTAAAGAATGAGTGAATGAATACGTTTCCTATAAACAGAACCATATATGAATCACCTTAGAATCTCTTACAGTGCCTAGCCAGGATGCAATTGGGACTCAAATATTTAATAAATCTGCCGAAACCGGTTTGGCTCAGTGGATGTTATGCCCAGATTCCAAGATCCCCAAAGAATTCCACACTGGGAGCCAGTTTCGATGCAACAGCAAAAGGACCTTTTATTTTAGGACTAGCTAGACCGACCCCTGTTCCGGCGGGCCGGCCTGCTCCCGGCCGGCTCGGCACAGAGAGAGATCCCCTCCCATGGGAAATC